GTAATCATTATTCTTCCCGTCTCTTGGGAAGGTAATCACTACTCTACCAGTCTCCTGGGAAGGTAATCACTACTCTACCAGTCTCCTGGGAAGGTTATTACTACTCTTCCCGTCTCTTGGGAAGGTAATCACTACTCTTCCCGCCTCCTGGGAAGGTAATCACTCTCTTCCAGTCTCCTGGGAAGGTAATCACTACTCTTCCCGTCTCCTGGGAAGGTAATCACTCTCTTCCAGTCTCCTGGGAAGGTAATCACTACTCTTCCCGCCTCCTGGGAAGGTAATCACTCTCTTCCAGTCTCCTGGGAAGGTAATCACTCTCTTCCAGTCTCCTGGGAAGGTAATCACTACTCTTCCCGTCTCCTGGGACGGTTATCACCATTTTTACCGTCTCCTGGGAAGGTTATCACCATTCTTCCCGTCTCCTGAGAAGGTTATCACCACTCTTCCCGTCTCCTGGGACGGTTATCACCACTCTTCCCCTCTCCTGGGAAGGTTATCACTACTCTTCCCGTCTCCTGGGAAGGTTATCACTACTCTTCCCGTCTCCTGGGAAGGTTATCACTACTCTTCCCGTCTCCTGGAAGGTTATCACCACTCGTTCCCGTCTCCTGGAAGTTATACACACCTTCCCGTCTCCTGGGAAGTTATCACCACTCTTCCCGTCTCCTGGGAAGGTTATCACTACTCTTCCCGTCTCCTGGGAAGGTTATCACTACTCTTCCCGTCTCCTGGGAAGGTTATCACTACTCTTCCCGTCTCCTGGGAAGGTTATCACTACTCTTCCCGTCTCCTGGGACGGTTATCACTACTCTTCCCGTCTCCTGGGAAGGTTATCACTACTCTTCCCGTCTCCTGGGAAGGTTATCACTACTCTCCCCGTCTCCTGGGAAGGTTATCACTACTCTTCCCGTCTCCTGGGAAGGTTATCACTACTCTCCCCGTCTCCTGGGAAGGTTATCACTACTCTTCCCGTCTCCTGGGAAGGTTATCACTACTCTTCCCGTCTCCTGGGAAGGTTATCACTACTCTCCCCCGTCTCCTGAAGGTATCACTACTCTTCACGTCTCCTGGGACGGCTATCACTACTCTCCCGTCTCCTGGGACGGTTATCACTACTCTCCCCGTCTCCTGGGAAGGTTATCACTACTCTTCACGTCTCCTGGGACGGCTATCACTACTCTCCCGTCTCCTGGGACGGTTATCACTACTCTCCCCGTCTCCTGGGAAGGTTATCACTACTCTCCCCGTCTCTTGGGAAGGTTATCACTACTCTCCCCGTCTCTTGGGAAGGTTATCACTACTCTCACCGTCTTGGGAAGGTTATCACTACTCTCTCCCGTCTCTGGAAGGTTATCACTACTCTCCCCGTCTCTTGGGAAGGTTATCACTACTCTCCCCGTCTCTTGGGAAGGTTATCACTACTCTCCCCGTCTCTCGGGAAGGTTATCACTACTCTCCCCGTCTCCTGGAAAGGTTATCACTACTCTCCCGTCCCTTGAGGTTATCACTACTCTTCCCGTCTCTTGGGAAGGTTATCACTACTCTCCCCGTCCCTTGGGAAGGTTATCACTACTCTTCCCGTCTCTTGGGAAGGTTATCACTACTCTCCCCGTCTCCTGGGAAGGTTATCACTACTCTCCCCGTCTCTTGGGAAGGTTATCACTACTCTCCCCGTCTCCTGGGAAGGTTATCACTACTCTCCCCGTCTCTTGGGAAGGTTATCACTACTCTCCCCGTCTCCTGGGACGGTTATCACTACTCTCCCCGTCTCTTGGGAAGGTTATCACTACTCTCCCCGTCTCTTGGGAAGGTTATCACCACTCTCCCCGTCTCTTGGGAAGGTTATCACTACTCTCCCCGTCTCTTGGGAAGGTTATCACCACTCTCCCCGTCTCTTGGGAAGGTTATCACTACTCTCCCCCGTCTCTTGGAAGTTATCACCACTCTCTTCCCCGTCTCTTGGAAGGTTATCACCACTCTCCCCGTCTCTTGGGAAGGTTATCACTACTCTCCCGTCTCCTGGGAAGGTTATCACTACTCTCCCCGTCTCTTGGGAAGGTTATCACCACTCTCCCCGTCTCTTGGGAAGGTTATCACCACTCTCCCCGTCTCTTGGGAAGGTTATCACTACTCTCCCCGTCTCTTGGGAAGGTTATCACTACTCTCCCCGTCTCTTGGGAAGGTTATCACTACTCTCCCCGTCTTTTGGGGAAAGGGTTTTATCACTACTCTTCCCGTCTCTTGGGAAGGTTATCACTACTCTCCCCGTCCCTTGGGAAGGTTATCACTACTCTTCCCGTCTCTTGGGAAGGTTATCACTACTCTCCCCGTCTCCTGGGAAGGTTATCACTACTCTCCCCGTCTCTTAGGAAGGTTATCATATGCAACACTGGTAGTTACAATTCCATTTGTAACATCTGATTGTCTTTGAAGCGACTGTTTTGGTAGCGACTGTTTTGGTAGCGACTGTTTTGGTTGCACCTGTTTTGGTTGCGAGTGTTTTGGTTGCGAGTGTTTTGGTTGCACCTGTTTTGGTTGCGACTGTTTTGGTTGCGACTGTTTTGGTTGCGAGTGTTTTGGTTGCGACTGTTTTGGTTGCGAGTGTTTTGGTTGCGACTGTTTTGGTTGCACCTGTTTTGGTTGCGACTGTTTTAGTTGCGAGTGTTTTGGTTGCGACTGTTTTGGTTGCGAGTGTTTTGGTTGCGAGTGTTTTGGTTGCGACTGTTTTGGTTGCGACTGTTTTGGTTGCACCTATTTTGGTTGCGACTGTTTTGGTTGCAACTGTTTTGGTTGCGACTGTTTTGGGAGTGACTGTGATGGTAGCGACTGTTTTGGTAGCGACTGTTTTGGTTGCACCTGTTTTGGTTGCGACTGTTTTGGTAGCGACTGTTTTGGTTGCACCTGTTTTGGTTGCGACTGTTTTGGTTGCACCTGTTTTGGTTGCGACTGTTTTGGTTGCGACTGTTTTGGGAGTGACTGTGATGGTAGCGACTGTTTTAGTAGCGACTGTTTTGGTAGCGACTGTTTTGGTTGCGACTGTTTTGGTAGCGACTGTTTTGGGAGTGACCGTGGTGGTAGCGACTGTTTTGGTAGCGACTGTTTTGGTTGCGACTGTTTTGGTTTACCTGGAGTTTACCTGGAGAGAGTTCCGGGGGTCAACGCCCCCGCGGCCCGGTCTGTGACCAGGCCTCCTGGTGGATCAGAGCCTGATCAACCAGGCTGTTACTGCTGGCTGCACGCAAACCAACGTACGAGCCACAGCCCGGCTGATCAGGAACCGACTTTAGGTGCTTGTCCAGTGCCAGCTTTAAGACTGCCAGGGGTCTGTTGGTAATCCCCCTTATGTATGCTGGGAGGCAGTTGAACAGTCTCGGGCCCCTGACACTTATTGTATGGTCTCTTAACGTGCTAGTGACACCCCTGCTTTTCATCGGGGGGATGGTGCATCGTCTGCCAAGTCTTTTGCTTTCGTAGTGAGTGATTTTCGTGTGCAAGTTCGGTACTAGTCCCTGGTTGCGACTGTTTTGGTTGCGACTGTTTTGGTTGCACCTGTTTTGGTTGCGACTGTTTTGGTTGCAACTGTTTTGGTAGCGACTGTTTTGGGAGTGGCTGTGGTGGTAGCGACTGTTTTGGTAGCGACTGTTTTGGTAGCGACTGTTTTGGTTGCGACTGTTTTGGTTGCGACTGTTTTGATAGCGACTGTTTTGGGAGTGGCTGTGGTGGTAGCGACTGTTTTGGTTGCGACTGTTTTGGTTGCGACTGTATTGGTAGCGACTGTTTTGGGAGTGGCTGTGGTGGTAGCGACTGTTTTGGTTGCGACTGTTTTGGTTGTGACTGATTTGGTTGCGACTGTTTTGGTTGCGACTGTTTTGGTAGCGACTGTTTTGGGAGTGATTGTGGTGGTAGCGACTGTTTTGGCAGCGACTGTTTTGGTTGCGACTGTTTTGGTTGCGACCGTTTTGGTAGCGACTGTTTTGGTAGTAACTGTTTTGGTAGCGACTGTTTTGGGAGTGGCTGTGGTGGTAGCGACTGTTTTGGTAGCGATTGTTTTGGTTGCGACTGTTTTGGTTGCGACTGTTTTGGTAGCGACTGTTTTGGGAGTGGCTGTGGTGGTAGCGACTGTTTTGGTTGCGACTGTTTTGGTTGCGACTGTTTTGGTAGCGACTGTTTTGGGAGTGGCTGTGGTGGTAGCGACTGTTTTGGTTGCGACTGTTTTGGTTGCGACTGTTTTGGTAGCGACTGTTTTGGCAGCGACTGTTTTGGTAGTAACTGTTTTGGTAGCGACTGTTTTGGTAGTAACTGTTTTGGTAGCGTCTGTTTTGGTGGCGACTATTGTGGTAGTATCTATTTTGGTAACGACTGTTTGGGTAGCGACTGTTTTGGTAGCGACTATACTGGTAGTAACTGTTTTACCGTTGTCCTTGCCGTTGTGAGCAATAATTTGTGATTTGCTGACGAGAACCGAGACTGGATATCACTAACACTGCCTCGATGACGCAGAAGAAATAACAAATCTAACACAAGACAGGAACGGACCCACATTTTAGGGCAACGACGAAGCAAAATATAAATAAGAACGTCATACACTTTTACTAAGTCAATGTATTTCATCTTCTGTTGTTGACTTATAGACTCTGGACTGAGGAAATCCGCAAGTGTGCAAGAGGAAAGGGAAGAATGCTGGTTACTGGTTGGCTAATTGTGTTTCAAGATTCTTGATCATTAAGGCTGCCATGTCACTGGTAATCTACGTCAGGGATAAAATAAATTTTCGTTGTATACACACTGTTTATGCACACAGTGGATGATGGGTGGGGCTGGATACATGAGACAGTGGGTGATGGGTGAGGCTGGACACACGAGACAGTGGATGATGGGTGGGGCACGGAAAACAATCTTTCACGCCCACACATAACCATCCGGAAGCAGCAGAGTGTTGGTGCTTGTCGTACGGGCACGCACCACCACCACCACCACCACCACCACCACCACCTGGGCAGCAGCTGGTGTGAGAGTAGAGAGGGTGAGTGGGCTGCCTGGGTCACCTGCCACGCCCACCCCAGCTGCCCAGCGCTGGTATATAAAGGCAGCCTCGCCATCTACCATCACCAGTGGAACTCATCCTTCGACAAACTAACCACCATGAAGGTACTCGCCTCACTAGCACTCACACTCGCACATCATGGACCTGAGCTGACGCCAGGACAACATGAAGTGCCTTTACCAATGACTTCTGGACTCGTTCAATGCAGTGACAACTTTTCAAAAATCTGACTCTTGGAAATCCACGAGACTTCGGCGTGTTAGACCTCAATGTAACATTAATATTTATCGTCTAAGACAAGACAGATTTGATGTGACTGACCGCACTGCTCGGCCGCTGCACCTTGAGGTAAGATGTGACTGACGGTGATGGAGGACAATGCTTGACATCGAACTTCTAGCCCAGGATGTGTTTCCTTATCCTGCTCTCACCGACTACAACGACCACATCCTGTGACTAATTAATGGTCTAAGTCGGACCAAAAATTCGTCATAAGTTTCTTTCCCTTATGGGGGGGGGGGGGTATTTGTGTACCGTATTGTATTTCATGAAGGCTTAATCCCGTGTGGGTCGTGGAGGGTAAATTAGTGATGGGAAGGGTAATGGTACTCTGGTCAACATGATGCTTGAGCTGACCAGCGTTGCTCCTCCCTCAGGCAGTGATTTTGATTCTCTCTGTGGCGGTGGCGGCCTGGGCAGCTCCCCAGGGCGGCTATAACTACCAGGAACCCCAGTATCCAGACACCCCCGCCCAGTACAACTTCCAGTGGGACGTCAACGATGATTATTCCGGGAATTTTTACGGCCACAAGGAGCAGAGGGACGGTGACAACACCCAGGGCAGGTGAGTCTACAATTATCTCACCCTTCGAACCCAATGCAACCGAACCACACCTAACCTAATCTAGGAAACCCAGTGTGATATAACATAGCTTTAAAACAAGTTAGGTACTAATTTTCCCACCCAGTTTCGGACTTACATATTAAATAACTTTGTATTACAGATCTTGGCGTATTTCAACACAGACTTTTGTTACAATAGCTTTCATTTTATATATTTTCTATCCTGCAAATGCCCTCAGTGTCAATGTTACACTTACAATATACAATAAATGTATCCTTTCAAGATTAGAAATAGACTTGAGAGTTTATAGAAGTAAAATTATAGATTGTTAATGTACTGATAGCAGTGTTATCATAGCAAGCTGAGAGATAAGCTGACACGTGACTATAAACCTCACAAGCTGAGAGATAAGCTGACACATGACTATAAACCTCACATTCCAACTTCTAAATATCTCAGATATATCATATTTGTTTTATATATGCATAAAATTCTTGTTTTAAAGGCACATACAATTCGAGGCCATACCGGTGGCCATTTCAAAAGATGGTTTGAAGAGTGAAAAATATAAGACTGGAGGAGCACTGCCCTAGGCCTACTGGCCCATGATCAAATGAAAATAAAAAAACCTGTTTCTGTCGGAAACTTTGAGCACCTTAGGTTACTTGATATGATTTAATATAACTGTAAGATATAATAGACTTTCACATTGGTACTTGTTAGATCACTTTCTCCTCTCGTTATTCAACTAGTGGAACTACTGCCTTCGTGCAGTACGTGTTCTCCACACGGGTCTGCACTGATGGTGACACATTGCCATCCTTCTCACTCTCAGAGTGCCAACTTTACAGTGCCAACTTTATACACTCAGCGTGATAAGTTTCTCACACTCAGTGCTAACCTTCTCACACTTGTTATTGTCAAGCTTCTCACTCTCAGAGTGCCAAGCTTCTCACACTCAGTGCCAACCTTCACACACTCAGTGCCAACCTTCTCACACTCAGTGCTAACCTTCTCACACTTGTTATTGTCAAGCTTTCACTCTCAGAGTGCCAAGCTTCTCACACTCAGTGCCAACCTTCACACACTCAGAACGCCAAGCTTCTCACACCCAGTGCTAACCTTCCCACACTCAGAGTGCCAAACTTCTCACTCTCAGAGTGCCAAGCTTCTCACACTCAGGAAGGGAACACTATGGTCAAGCGCCGCGGTTCTGATGGGCACCAAGTCGAACTCATCTCATACTCAGAACGTGTGCCTCAGGGACTCCCTTGATGCTAGTGAAAGGCTTTTGATTCAAGGAATTGGAGCTGTTTTTACGGGTTGAGTGCTTATCCATAAATATACTGATGATCCTTTCCAGGAGCCAGGAGTGATGAAGGCTCGACCCTCCGTCTGCTAGATACGTTACTTTACATGTTCTTGTTTTTCCTCCTGCAGTTACTACGTCAGGTTACCTGATACTCGCCTCATGCGGGTTGATTACTACGTTGACGCCTACGGCTTCCACCCCACCGTGACCTTCGAGGGCGAGGCCCAGTACCCCAGTGTTCCTAGCAAGGTATATGGGCAGCCTACCCCTAGCCCAGTGTATGGGCAGCCAGGGAAATAAACAGAGTGGAGTCCATATCACCCATTACCATCAATATTCATTATTTTCACCCTTCCTTCCTTCCTTCCTTCCTTCCTTCCTTCCTTCCTTCCTTCCTTCCTTCCTCCCTCCCTTCTTTCCTTCCTTCTTTCCTTCCCTCCCTCCTTTCTCCCTTCCCGTTCTGATTCTTCTCATGTTTACGAAGAGCTTGCCATGACAAGTTCCTCTCGCCACCTCGAGTCTTGGCATCTCCTGATGCTGGTTCCACCTCCTGAAGGACTCTAGAAGACTCTGCATACCCACTACCCCATATGTTCCCACTTACCACTGCTTCGTGGTGATGTCTGCTGTTATCTGTGATGTCTGCTGTTACCTGTGATGTCTGCTGTTACCTGTGATGTCTGCTGTTGCCTGTGATGTCTGCTGTTGCCTGTGACGTCTGCTGTTGCCTGTGATGTCCGCTGTTGCCTGCCTTTCCCAAGTCACATGCGTCTGCTAGTTAACTCCCTACTGACAGTCACAATATAAACTACTGACTGTCACAACGAATTGCTGATAGTCACACCACTCTTCGCTCTTCACCTCTATAAATATATAATATATGTATTTTTATACCGAGAACAAATGAATATTTTGTAAAATAAAGAATATAATTGAAAAAAAAAATACAGTATTTCATTTACAAAATGTTTCCACATTGTAGTTTTTAAATCTTTTCTCGTAGTGCAACATGGAAAAGCACGTGACTCGTCTTCCAGGAATGATTCAGTTTTTAGCAACATCATTTCCAGCAACAAACATATCGACTGGAAAAAAACACAGCTTGAATGTGTTGCAGTTAGCTAGGGATGAGTAACATGAATCAGTGTCTCGAGAGGATGAATGATTGTGAAAAATATTTCAGATTTATTCTGTGAATGTTAAGAAGAGAAGAAGATAAATATTGGAGAGGGAATGACGGTCCCTCTGTAGTCAGAGACGAAGAGTCACAGACCTCCAAGATTTGAGATGTCTCACGGATGAAAAGAGATACTACTTAGATAAACAGATAATGTAAAGCTAAAATTTAACCCATCATAAAATGCCGCAGAGAGAGAGAGAGAGAGAGAGAGAGAGAGAGAGAGAGAGAGAGAGAGAGAGAGAGAGAGAGAGAGAGAGAGAGAGAGAGAGAGAGAGAGAGGGAGAGAGAGAGCAAAAAGTTATCAGGAAAATGGAAAATGACCCTAAACACTTTTCCTCTTATGAAACAGTAATGGCATTAGCCAACTCTAGTACTGGAGCACTTGCTTGAAAGGTGCTGCGACTTTCACTTACGACAACACAGAAATGACCGAAATACTGAGGACACAACACGACTCTCTATTTAACGAACCACTGAACAGACTAAACATTAAGAAATAACACGAATGCTTTCAACAGTGCAGCATCAGACCTTTGCCAACATTACTGCTGAAAAACCCAACTCGACTCTTGCAACTTCGAGTAAGTTATTGCAAGTACGACCAGGCACTCTGATAAATTGCAAGTACGACCAGGCACTCTGATCCAGGACCAGACTCAAGAAATTCCAAATTTGTCAAAAAAAGTAATCACCAGCCTATGAAAATTAACCATAAGGGTAAGAAAAGTAATCACAAGGGTAAGAAAAGTAATCGCAAGGGTAAGAAAGTAATCACAAGGGTAAAAACGTAATCACAAGGCTAAGAAATTAATCGCAAGGGTAAGAAAAGTAATCACAAGGTTAAGAGAAGTAAATAACAAAAAGGCACAATACCGTGACTGGAACGATACACAAATAACCCGCACATAGGAGAGAGGAGCTTACTGCGACGTTTCGGTCCGACTTGGACCATTTACAAAGTCACACTAACGAAAAGTAGAGCAGGACGGGTATATATAGCCAGGAAGAGGTAGTGGTGGTGGTAGTAGCAGCAGCAGCAGTAGTAGTAGTAGTAGTAGTAGTAGTAGTAGTAGTAGTAGTAGTAGTAGTAGAAGTGGTAGTAGTAGTAGTAGTAGTAGTAGTAGTAGTAGTAGTAGTAGTAGTAGTGGAAGTGGTAGTAGTGATAGTAGTAGTAGTAGTAGCAGTAGTGGTAGTGGTAGTAGTAGTAGTAGTAGTAGTAGTGGAAGTGGTAGTAGTAGTAGTAGTAGTAGTAGTAGTGGTAGTGGTAGTAGTGGTAGTGGTAGTAGTGGTAGTAGTAGTAGTAGTAGTAGTATAGTAGTAGTGGTAGTAGTAGTAGTAGTAGTGGTGGTGGTAGTAGTAGTAGTAGTAGTAGAGGAAGTGGTAGTAGTAGTAGTAGTAGTAGTAATAGTGGTAATGGTAGTGGTAGTAGTTGTAGTAGTGGAAGTGGTAGTAGTAGTAGTAGTGGAAGTAGTAGTAGTAGTAGTAGTAGTAGTAGTAGTAGTGGTAGTGGTAGTGTGGTAGTTAGTAGTAGTAGTAGTAGTTAGTAGTGTAGTAGTAGAGTAGTAGTGGAAGTGGTAGTAGTAGTAGTAGTGGAAGTGGTAGTGTAGTAGTAGTAGTAGTAGTAGTAGTAGTATAGTAGAGTGGTAGTGGTAGTAGTAGTAGATAGTAGTAGTAGTAGTAGTAGTAGTAGTTTAGTGGTAGGTAGTAGTAGTAGTAGTAGTAGTGTAGTAGTAGTAGTAGTGGAGTGGTAGCAGTAGTGTAGTAGTAGTAGTAGTAGTAGTAGGTGTAGTAGTAGTAGTAGTGTAGTAGTAGTAGTAGTGGAGTGGTAGAGTAGTGGTAGTAGTTAGTAGTAGTAGTGGTGGTAGTAGTGAGTAGTAGTAGTAGTAGTAGTGGTAGTGGTAGTAGTAGTAGGAGTAGTAGTAGTAGTAGTAGTAGTGGTAGTGTAGTAGTAGTAGTTGGTAGTGGGTAGTAGTAGTAGGAGTAGTAGTAGTAGTAGTAGTAGTGGTAGTGGTAGTAGTAGTAGTAGTAGTAGTAAGTAGTAGTTAGTGGTAGTAGTAGTAGTAGTAGTGGTAGTGGTAGTAGTAGTAGTAGTAGTAGTAGTATAGTAGTAGTAGTGGTAGTGGTAGTAGTGTAGTAGTGAGTAGTAGTAAGTAGTAGTGGGTAGTAGTAGTATGTAGTAGTAGTAATAGTAGTGTAGTGGTATGTAGTAGTATAGTAGTAGTAGTAGTAGTAGTAGTAGTAGTAGTAGTGATAGTAGTAGTAGTAGTAGTAGTAGTAGTAGTAGTAGTAGTGGTAGTAGTAGTAGTAGTAGTAGTAGTAGTAGTAGTAGTAGTGGTAGTAGTAGTAGTAGTAGTAGTAGTAGTAGTAGTAGTAGTAGTAGTAGTAGTAGTGGGGAATTAAGGAGGAGGAGCCAGTCAAATACAAAGAAAGGGGAGCACTGCAAGGGAGCTAGGTGCCCACAAGGGAGCTAGGTGCCCACAAGGGAGCTAGGTGCCCACAAGGGAGCTAGGTGCCCACAAGGGAGCTAGGTGCCCACAAGGGAGCTAGGTGCCCACAAGGGAGCTAGGTGCCCACAAGGGAGCTAGGTGCCCACAAGGGAGCTAGGTGCCCACAAGGGAGCTAGGTGCCCACAAGGGAGCTAGGTGCCCACAAGGGAGCTAGGTGCCCACAAGGGAGCTAGGTGCCCACAAGGGAGCTAGGTGCCCACAAGGGAGCTAGGTGCCCACAAGGGAGCTAGGTGCCCACAAGGGAGCTAGGTGCCCACAAGGGAGCTAGGTGCCCACAAGGGAGCTAGGTGCCCACAAGGGCGCTAGGTGCCCACAAGGGAGCTAGGTGCCCACAAGGGAGCTAGGTGCCCACAAGGGAGCTAGGTGCCCACAAGGGAGCTAGGTGCCCACAATGGAGCTAGGTGCCCACAGTGGAGCTAGGTGCCCACAAGGGATCTAGGTGCCCACAAGGGAGCTAGGTGCCCACAAGGGAGCTAGGTGCCCACAAGGGAGCTAGGTGCCCACAAGGGAGCTAGGTGCCCACAAGGGAGCTAGGTGCCCACAAGGGAGCTAGGTGCCCACAAGGGAGCTAGGTGCCCACAAGGGAGCTAGGTGCCCACAAGGGCGCTAGGTGCCCACAAGGGAGCTAGGTGCCCACAAGGGAGCTAGGTGCCCACAAGGGAGCTAGGTGCCCACAAGGGAGCTAGGTGCCCACAAGGGAGCTAGGTGCCCACAAGGGAGCTAGGTGCCCACAAGGGAGCTAGGTGCCCACAAGGGAGCTAGGTGCCCACAAGGGAGCTAGGTGCCCACAAGGGAGCTAGGTGCCCACAAGGGAGCTAGGTGCCCACAAGGGAGCTAGGTGCCCACAAGGGAGCTAGGTGCCCACAAGGGAGCTAGGTGCCCACAGAGGGAGAGCACGTACACAGAGGTGGGGAAGAAGGGGAAGTGATGAAATAAATAATGAAGGAACAGAAACACGACGACCGAAACGTCGTCGTAAGCTCCTCTCTTCTATGTGAGGGTTATCTGTGTAAGAGAAGTAATCACAAGGCTAAGAAAAGTAATCACAAGGCTAAGAAAAGTAATCACAGGGCTAAGAAAGGTAATCACAAGCCTAAGAAAGGTAATCACAAGCCTAAGAAAGGTAATCACAAGCCTAAGAAAGGTAATCACAAGCCTAAGAAAGGTAATCACAAGCCTAAGAAAGGTAATCACAAGCCTAAGAAAGGTAATCACAAGCCTAAGAAAGGTAATCACAAGCCTAAGAAAGGTAATCACAAGGGTATGAAAACCTATCACAAAGCTAAGAAAAATAATCACAGAAAAAGTAATCACAGTCCAAAGAAAAGTAATCACAAGCCTAAGAAAGGTAATCACAAGCCTAAGAAAGGTAATCACAAGCCTAAGAAAGGTAATCACAAGCCTAAGAAAGGTAATCACAAGCCTAAGAAAGGTAATCACAAGGGTATGAAAACCTATCACAAAGCTAAGAAAAATAATCACAGAAAAAGTAATCACAGTCCAAAGAAAAGTAATCACAAGCCTAAGAAAATCACAGTCTAGAGAGGCAGTTTTTTTTTTTTCATTTATTTAGAAAAAAATGAAAAGATCAGCAGTGTGCTGCTGCCTTAGTCTAGATCAGTATTGTCTAACCTTCTTCCCCTCCCCCAGCCCCTGCCCCTGCCCCTGCCCCTGCCCCTGCCCCTGCCCCTGCCCCTCCCCCTGCCCCTCCCCCTGCCCCTGCCCCTCCCCCTCAGTTTGGATGAAATTAAGATAAGATGTGAATTATTTCGTCTTAATAGAAAAAAAAACAGCTGAGTGAGAGTTGTGGTTTTGCATTTTGCTGATGAGCAGTATGACGCAGTATTATTAACAGTATGACGCAGTATTATTAACAGTATGACGCAGTATAAAGTAGTGAGGTGGAGCTTCTCGAGCCACCAGAAGCTTACTTGGGAAGCACAGTGATTGGACTCTGAACGGGGAGTGGGGGGGGGACACTGCAGTTTGGAGGGGAAGGAGGACATCTGGCAAGGTAGTGACAGAGTGATGGTCAAAGTGTTTCTTCTTTTCACGGGTCGCACTGCCTGGGTGGGAGACGCTGCCGGTGTGTCGCGAGAAAATAATGATCGACCAGTTAATTTTAACTAGAATTATTAGTAGATTTGTTTACCAAAGAACATTAACACTTGTAACACCGGGAACGTTCATGCTGATAGTTCATGCACTCCCATGCTGATAGTTCATGCACTC